TACAAACCTAGGTTCCTGATATTTAGAGCAGGACCTTTCTTCTATGCATATTCAGTTGAGATGAAAAATATACCATGTAGAAAATATGATTTTCAGGATCACCCACTAAGTGGCAAAGCATATGTGGAATCATTAAGAGTAGGACCCCCTATTTCCATGAGAGATTTGAAGAAGAAAAAAAAAAAAAAAAAAGAAAGAAACACCAAATGACTCTGTTAATACTAAAGAAAATAACAGCTATGACTCTAAGAAGCAGAAAATGCTTAAGTGCAAAGAAGACAGAGTAAGAGATAAATTAGAATTAGTCAAGCCTACTGAAGAAATATTCCTAGAGAAGCTTTAGAGCTAAATGTTAAACAACATTAACAAGAGGAGGAGAGGGCAACTGGGTAGGAGAAATTATATTTGTGAAATCCCAAATGTGAAAGAGGCAAAAGGTGTGCAGGAGACCACAAGATTATTGAGAAAGATAACAGCCTCTGAGGATGGGAATGAGGAGAGAGGTTGGGAAGCCCAGCAAAGGAAGGCCTTAGCTATCAGAAGGCCAGGTTGGCAGGAGGAAGAAACACAGTAAGCCATGTCTGAAGAATATTTTTTCAGTAAAGTGTGTGTGAAGGGTAGGAGAAAGAAAAGCACAGATGCAAGAAGAGCTGAAGGTCATGGAAGAAGTACCAAAAGCTCTCTTAAGAGATTCCAAAGGTAGCCAGTGGAGAGGAAAAGATACAAGAAAGAAATAAGCAGTGTGATGAATTACAGCACAGGTAAGAGGGTGAAAAGGGGTTTGGGAGTGACCCCCAATCACAGCCATGACTCAGACTGATTTCTCACTAATTTAACCTTTAAACACTAAAAATAAGTACAAAAGAAAATAACTAGAATTTCTAGGCATTCAGCAGGATGGTTTCCATGAAAAAAAAAAAAAAAACCAAACCTGGAGCTTAATGCATCTGTTCCTTCCCAGCCCAGCAGTAAGTGCCCATTAAGCTGAAGTTTAATTTTAGATGCAGCTTTATAAAACCTTACGGTCATCCTCTTGAGGACAGATCACAGATCAAAATGGATGGGCTAGGGTTGGGAGTGGTGGCTCACGCCTGTAATCCTAGCACTCTGGGAAGCCAACATAGGAGGATAATTTGAGGTCAGGAATTCGAGACAAGCCTGAGCAAGAGCAAGACCCCATCTCTACAAAAAATAGAAAACTTAGCCAGGTGTTGTGGTACGTTCCTGTAGTCCCAGCTGCCTGCCTGGGAGGCTGAGGCAGGAGGATCGCTTGAGCCCAGGAGTTTGAGATTGCAGTGAGCTATGATTACACCACTGTACTCTCACGGGGGCAACAGAGTGAGACTCTGTCTCAAAAAAAAAAAGATGGGCTAGGAAAAATAGTGACTGTGGAAAAAAAATTTTCTTTTCAGTTGTCAGAGACTCCTAAGAGAAAACAAAGTAATAACTGTGTAACCAAGACAGCCATATCAATAGCCAGAGAGGATTTAGAACAGAGGCAATGATGAGACTAAGGGACATCAGTCTCAACAAAGAAAGCACACGCCAAAGCAGTCCCTTTCAAATAGAAAAAAACAAGCCCTTGGGTTTACACAGCTAGTTAGTTACAAAGCCTGTTCACAAGAACCCCTGGAATAGCCAAAGTGGACATGGTATCCCCCTCTTACTGGAAGTTGAAACACTAGACCAAAAACACATGGATGATGAGTGCCGAAGACCAGGCTAGGAACTCCTAGTCCAAGGCTCTTTCCTGAGCAACCAACTTACCCACAGGAAAAGTGTGCATCCAGCGCCTTCTGTTGGACGTGAGCTTCATAGGCATTCGAGAAGGAGCAAAGGGGTTAATCAGTGCTCTCTGGGGCGTGTATCCACCGGGCCGGACATGTAGCATGGACTCTGCACTGCCTACGTGGAACCTTCCCGGTGCGCTAGAGTCTCGCTGTGGTGGCTCCATCATGTTCTCCAGGACATCTGCCAGTTATTCCAGAGTCAAGGAACAAAGAGAAAGCACAGAGCCATGAGGAAACCGGAACTAGGCAGACTGATAAGCCAAGGCTGACAAGAATCGTGGACATCATAAATGTCAGGGAGTGAGAGAAATGAGGCAAATTGCTTAACAATAAAGAAATACGTTTGGGTTTATTTATTTTCTAAATACTTGGGAGAAGGGGGTTCTGGTTCCTAGATTACTGGCCCAATGAAGCCACACACAAACCTGATGAGGACAATCACACATCACCTGGAGACCCTGGACTTTGAGCTGGATACAATGGCTGAATAAATAATGGGACTTGAGTTGTCTCCCTGGGGAAAGGGGTGAGTATTTTCTGTATGTGGGAGAAACAATAAAAATAGATATTTGGTGGGCAGAAGGGCAAACTGTGGCAGAACTAGTCAATTTTGTTCACTAAACCCATTTGATTTTCTTTTTAGGCACACAGCAAGACTATATAGTTCCCAGCTCCTTTGCACTGAAGCCAAATGACTTAATTCTGGCCAAGTCACAAAAGTAGTTACAGAGTAGAAGTGATATATTCCAGTTCTAGGCCTGGACCACAGTGATATCCATGCATGATCCCCAATCTCTTTTTCCCTTCTGTGGCAACTTGGGAGACCAATACTGATGACCATGGGATTCCAGGATGGAGGGAGGCTGGGTCCCTGAATGACTAAGTGGATCTGTACCTCCTCCCATTGACAGTGGACTGGGACATGAGTAAGCAATCAAATGTTATGGTGTCAAAAAAAATTCTTGGCCTTGAGGTGGCTTATGCCTATAATCCTAGCATTTTGGGAGGCCAAGGCGGGAGAATTGCTTGAGGCCAGGAGTTCAAGACCAGTCTGAGCAAGACCCCATCTCTATAAAACATAGAAAAATTAGCCAGGCATGGTGGTATACACCTGTACTCCCAGCTACACAGAAAGATCTCTTGAACCTAGGAGTTTGAGGTTGCAGTGAGCTATGATGATGCCACTGCACTCTAGCCAGGGTGACAGAGCAAGACCCCATCACACACAAAAAAATTAGGGGTGGGGGAAAAGAATGAATAAATGGATGCATCCAGCCTTGACCAGGCAAGGAGATGTCATGATGTTTATATCAACCTGACCCATTCAAGGGCAGACAAGTCCCATTATTGAGATGGAGGCAATATGCCTGAATGGATCAAAGAGCTGAAATCCACAACCAACTCCTCTTATGTGTATCTGATGTTCACTAAGCAATCATCCAGATTTGAAAGTGGGTCCAGCAAATACAAACTCCAAGGAATCTGTCCTGTCCATCATTATCTATCCAATGCCTAGCACAGACCCTCATATATCATAATGCTGTATTTCATTCAAGGTGATTTGCATGCAAGAAGAGAATGTACAGATCTCCAAGAAAATCGGATTTTTCATTGTAATTAATGAACTGATGCTCTGATTTGTAAAAAAAAAAAAAAAAAAAGAATATGGTCTAGTTCGTTATTAGGGAAATAAAAGAAGAAAACCCAATTTAAAAAAAGATGAGCACATACTTTTAAGAGGATGAAAAGTAGACCAGGCATGGTTGCTCACGCCTGTAATCCTAGCACTCACTCTGGGAGGCAGGGGTGGTAGGATCGCTCAAGGTCAGGAGTTTCAGACCAGCCTGAGCAAGAGGGAGACCCTGTCTCTACTAAAAATAGAAAGAAATTAATTGGCCAACTAAAAATATATATAAAAAATTATCCGGGCATGGTGGCGCATGCCTGTAGTCCCAGCTACTTGGGAGGCTGAGGCAGGAGGATCACTTGAGCCCAGGAGTTTTGAGGTTGCTGTGAGCTACGCTGACACCACAGCACTCTAGCCCGGGCAACAGAGTGAGACTCTGTCCCCCAAAAATAAATAAATGAATAAAATAAAAGGACAAAAAATAGAACAAAGGGATAAAGTGGGTCAAAAATATATGTGGGGGAAAGGGGAAACATTTCTATGTTACACTGGGTGGATAGGTGAGTGAGAATCCCTAAATATAATAGAGAAACAGAAAACTAACAGCCTATAGATTGTGTTGCCTTACAGAATTTCAGTGACTTGCTTTTTTGGCTTTTCCAATAAACTCCTCAATATTATTAAGGGACATGAAACCAATTTGACTATTCAGATAATAAAAACAAAAACAAAAACTGTTTTCAAACCTGCTTGGATTACAGGCAATGTTATCGAGCCAGAAATCTGGCTTTTAGAATAATAAAGGTTTTGAAAGGATAAACATTTAGTTTAAATTACCTTTTATTAGGGACACTTTTAGGAATATTTTCAGCAGAACAGGAGTAACTGTCATGCAAACTTAAATATTTCCAAAGAGTGGAAAAAAGCTAACCTAGAAATTTCCAAATATGTTAAAAGTCTTTTGAATACTAAATTTAATGTAGGTGATATAAGTTACATTCTATAATCGCATAACTTAATATCTGCTTCCTTTTTTAGGACTTCCTTTTCATGCTTTGAGCCAGTAAAAAACCTTTTTCTCAGCAGTCAAAAATTTTCATAGGCTCTTGGTATGGTGTCTATGTTGCCTACTCAATAAAAGTGACCTGCTGCTCCCCAATCCTGAGGTCCCTGGAGCCGATGGTTTCCCCTATTAACATGCTAGATCATGGAAAACACTCTTGCCCTTTGGGAATCCTTCCAGGGCAGCTATGTGTATATACAACATTCTTAAGTCTGTGACCAAAAGTCTGGAGGTATGCTTCCATCTATTTATTAATAACATTCTTTTTTTTTTTGAGACAAAGTCTCACTTTGTTGCCCAGACTAGAGTGAGTGCCGTGGCGTCAGCCTAGCTTACAGCAACCTCAAACTCCTGGGCTCAAGCAATCCTCCTGCCTCAGCCTCCCAAGTAGCTGGGACTACAGGCATGTGCCACCATGCCCGGCTAATTTTTTCTATATATATTAGTTGGCCAATTAGTTTCTTTCTATTTATAGTAGAGACGGGGTCTCGCTCTTGCTCAGGCTGGTTTCGAACTCCCGACCTCGAGCGATCCGCCCGCCTCGACCTCCCAGAGAGCTAGGATTACAGGCGTGAGCCACCGCACCCGGCCCCAATAACATTCTTAAATAACAAAATTAAAGAGGAGAATGATTAGCATGAGGGTGTGGCTATAAAGGGGAGGGCACAGTGGCCCAGTGGCTCATGCCTATAATCCTAGCACTCTGGGAGGCCAAGGCAGTAGGATCGCTCAGCTCAAGAGTTCGAAACCAGCCTGAGCAAGAGTGAGACCCCATCTCTACTAAAAATAGAAAGAAATTAATTGCCAACTAAAAACATATATAGAAAAAATTAGCCAGGCACGGTGGCACATGCCTGTAGTCCCAGCTACTCGGGAGGCTAAGGCAAGAGGATGGCTTGAGCCCAGGAGTTTGAGGTTGCTGTGAACTAGGCTGATGCCATGGCACTCTAGCCTGGGCAAGAGAGTGACACTCTGTCTCAAAAAAACAAACAAATAAACAAAAAAAGGGGTGGGGGTAGCATGAAGGAGCCTGGTGGTGACATAATAGTTCTGTACTTTAATTGTGGTGGTGGTCATACAAATATATGTGTGATAAAATTGCACAGAGATATATTAATATGTATAAACAAATGAGCATACATAAATGTGGTGAAATTGAATATGCCCTGGAGATTGATAAGGAAAAAAGAAAACCCCTTTGACCCTAGGCCTCAGAAAAGCTCTACGTTAACATATGGAAAGATACGCAGTTGCTGTGATGAGGGAAGAAATGGTAGACACAACAATAATATAATACATACATATCTATCAGCTCAGATGATTCTCACCAGTGCACTGACATGGAAATAATTAAGATGTGAGACTCATAGCCCTGACCACCACCCCCACCTCTATCTCCCACTACAGTAAGGAAGCCATGCCCAGCTCTGCCTGTGTGTCAGCACTCTGACCTCGTGTACTGGTGTAGCCCAAGGAGCTGCTAACTTCATACTGGTGCAGGTGGGGGTGTGGGATCATCAGGATGTTGGTGCTCTTGCCCAGGGAGCTGTCGTCAGAAGCCTGGCTCCTCACTTCCTCAGTGGGCAGCGCCCGGCTCGGCAAGGAAGGGCTGGATGAGACGTCACAGGAGCTGGCACTCTTTCGACTCTGACTTTCCCGTTCTCGCACAGACCTACCAGGCGAGAGACAAAAAGTTACCACCAAGCAAGGCATGCTGTCCCACCTCTAAAACCCATCACCAGCCCTAGCCACTTGGGAAACCAACAACAGAAATCTTCATTATATGAGTGGGAAATATGTAGGAGGTACTTTGCCCTGAGCCACTTGAGATGTTGTGTAAGAAAGGGAAGAACAACTGATAGTTCTCAAACAGCCAAAGTCCTGGGATCACAGCTATAAACAACTGATGTCTCCAGTCTGACCCCACCTGATCCCACTGATCAATCACACATTACTAAAAACTGGGGGATAAGATACAATGTGATGCAAGACAAAGTACACAGGGCCCCTGGAGACGTCTTCTTGTCCCCAAATTTGAACCTAAATCTAATCACGCCTCTAGAGATAATTGCCAGTTTAAAGGAAATTCAGAGACTAGAGGAAAAGTTAAATATAACAAGGAAAGAATCAACTAAATGAAGAAAGCAAGACAGTTTACTGTTGTACACACACAGAAAAGACATTACAACAAAAGAAAATGTGTGGATCTTATTTAGATCCCAAATTATACAAACCTACTGCAGAAACACATTTTTGAGACAACTGGGAACTCTAAATATGGACTATCAGAGGTTATTAAGGAATTAGTGTTAATTTTGTTACTAGTGAAAATTTTTTCTAAAAAATCCTTATTTGTAAGAGACACATACTGAAGTATGTATCAGCAGGGGAAAAAAATAGGAATGCCTGGGATTTGTTTTAAAATTCTTCAGCCAAAACTTAAAATGTGGGAGAAGTGATGAAATAAGACTGGCAACATGGTGATAACTGTTCATGATACTAGGCTCTCTGAGTGTGATTGAACCTTTCCTTAACAAATGTTTAAAAAATAATATACTCTTATTAAAACATAAAACTCGCTAACAGGCCGGGTGCGGTGGCTCAGGCCTGTAATCCTAGCACTCTGGGAGGCTGAGGTGGGCAGATTGCTCGAGGTCAGGAGTTCGAAACCAGCATGAGCAAAAGCGAGACCCCGTCTCTACCATAAGTAGAAAGAAATTAATTGGCCAACTAATACATATAGAAAAAATTAGCTGGGCATGGTGGCGCATGCCTGTAGTCCCAGCTACTCGGGAGGCTGAGGCAGAAGGATTGCTTGAGCCCAGGAGTCTGAGGTTGCTGTGAGCTAGGCTGACGCCATGGCAGTCACTCTAGCCTGGGCAACAAAGTGAGACTCTGTCTCAAAAAAAAATAAATAAATAAAATAAAATAAAAAATAAAAATAAAATAAAACTCGCTAAGCGAAGAATCTCTAGAAGCAGTAGGAAGAAGGATCAAAAGGAGAGAAGCCCAATGGGGAAGCAAAAATTAAGAATGGAAGTTAGCCCACCAATAGGACTGCCCTTCTGGCATCAGAGCCATTCCCTCTCCTCCTGGAAGGATTTTAAGAGCTTAGATAAAGCCTGAAAATAGATCCCACATGCTGACTACATTTTCATATATTTCAACAGTAAATATTTGAGCACCAGTATATGCTTAGCCATGTGCAAGGGATGGAGCACAATTTAAGACATGGTTTGTGCCTTCAAGGTACCTAGATACCTGAGACACCATGTCTTGCCATCTTTGAGTAAACAAAAGAAAACCAACAATCTTGAACTATGAACATATTTTTAAAGACAGAAGAAAAGCCCCTAAGTACTGTGTTTCCCTGAAAATAAGACAGGGTCTTATATTTATTTTTCCTTAAGAAGACACCCTAGGGCTTATTTTCAGAGGATGTGTTATTTTCCCCTCAAAGCCTCAGCTTGCAGCACGCACAGGATGGCCAGCACCTGACAGGGGGAGCTGACCTTGTTGGTGGGGCTGCCCACACCTTTCTGGTCACCTCTGGGATAGAACCTGTCACAATGGGGCAGATGAGAAGGGCTGCTTATCTTCTTTACCGTTCTGCAACAAAATGCATGGGTTGTGCAGATACGCTGCGTAGCCACACCCATCACTAGGTCTTATTTTCAGGGTAGGGCTTATATTGCGCAAATGCTTAGAAATCCTGCTAGGGCTTATTTTATGGGTAGGTCTTATTTTCAGGGAAACATGGTAGCTACTACTGAATCTCAAGTAGCACCCAAGTGTAGGAGAGCTGTTGTTAATAGCACTTATTCTGAGCTCTAAATAGTCTCAGGAAGAGACATTATGATGGATTGAGGGAAAAGGACAAAAACAATCATATGGCCACAATAAGTTCATGTGCCACAAAATTAAGAGACATAATAATCTTCCAGTGAGTTGTGCTTAAACTTATATATTTAAGAAATCTGGAAAATGGTATTTGGTCAACTGGGGGAAAAAAAAAACAAGGTTGAACTCTGTTCACACATTCATGAAAAAAATTCTACATAAAGAACTAAGCATAAAATCCAAGACTATAGAACAGTAGAATAAAATATAAAATACAGGGCTGGGCACAGTGGCTCAAGCCTGTAATTGTAGCACTTTGGAAGGCGGAGGTGGGAGAATCAACATAACAAGATTCCATCTTTTTAAAAAAAATTAAAACAGAGTCAAGCATGGTGGCATGTGCCTGTAGCCCTAGCCACTTGGGAGGCTGAGGTGAGAGGACTGCTTAAGCCCAGGAGTTCAAGGTTACAGTGAACTATGATCAGGCTGCTGCAATCCAGCCTGGGTGACAGAGGAAGACCTTATCTCTAAAAAAATAATAATAATAAAAGAAAAGATATGTCTAAGACCTGGAAATGAATAGATTGGTAAACCTAACTACATCACAATTTAAAACTACTATATGATCAAAATACCACACAGCAAATTTAAAAAGCAGGAATTAAAGAAAGAAAAGTTCTTGCCCTTTGGGAATAATAAACCTAAAAGAAACTCTGAGCCCAAGGATCGATATTAGTGCCAGCCTGGTAAGAAGATTCTAAAATTTGTAATTTGTTTCTCTTGGCTAGAACCCCTCTTTATTTTGAGGCAATACTTCATAGCAAACAAAATGGCGGTGACTAAAGAGTCTGAAAACAGAATCCCTAATGCTCTATATGGCATGGCTTCCTTCAGGCTAATTTTGGGGGGGGGCATATTATGGGGGTACACATTTTAAGGTTTCAATAAATGCCCATTCTCCCCCTGCCCCCCAGTCTGAGTCTCCAGCATGACCATCCCCTAGATGGTGCACATCTCACTCATTATGTATGTATATACCCACCCCCACCACCACCCCTCCCACCTGCCCAATACCCTACAATAATAGGGTATTGGGAAGGCTAATTTTAATTTAAAACATTTTCAGGGTTACGCTCATAAAGGTCCCCAGTGGACCTCAGGTTTTCATAAACAATTTTTATATACCCATTACCCCCCAGAGTGAATCTGGCAGAAAACCTGCAGGTGGCGAGGCGCTGAGCCCTGGATGGGCCGGGCAGCCTGAACACTTGAGCATCATAGGCATCATAATCGACTTGGATGGGAAGCGCGTTCTCAGATTCTTTTGGAGATCCAAGAGCTGAAATACAGAAATAATACAAACTATCATCCAAATGCATTTCAGACAGATGCCTTCAGAGGGTTTTCACCAAAATTTGCAAGGCATAGGTGATCATCATCTCCCCCTGGAAAAATGGGATAATAACTTATTCACCAGGTTGTTGAGATTAAATAACATGCCAAAGCGATACACGAATAGTATAGCACTCAATGAAGGCAAGGTGCCGGTAGCATTTCATTCTCCTGTGGTCCTGCTTTCCAAATACCATCTTAATATGTTTAGTACTTTAAAACTTTCTACCTGATCCTGAAAATTGATTTACGGAAAAGAAAAACAAGGTTTTGTCATCATTTTACAGTTGACAGGACAAAAATACAAGGTGGTTAAAGGATCTTCCAAAGTGACACAGAAAGAACTCAGGTTTCCTGATTTTTCTCTGAAATTTTTAAGTGACTTCACATAACTTTTTGGCATGGATTAGCTGACTCTAAAAGTGTTGAAAGAAGATCTGAAAAAATACTCACATGTATCACGGCCATTTTTTGCTTTTTCAGAGGCAGGCTGTAAAATTAAATAGATAATTAATCACTCCATCTTCTGCAAGAATAGAACTTATCACAAGGCACAGTATGCACATGGCTGCTCCCCAAGGCAGAGACCGTGTCTTAACCGTCCGTGTAACTGACAGAAAGGCAGGAGCTACCATCTGATACCTACCTATGATGGTCCTTTACCTCCCACCTCACATCTTGTTTACTCCCAGAACCCTACCCAGTGGGGGCATGGACCCCACTTTAAAAGTGAGAATATTCAATTCTAGAAAGGATAAGGGATTTGTCCACAATCACACGATTAGCAGGTGGCAAAGTCAAAATCCAAGCCCAGATCCTCATCCTCTTGGTCAGTCCACTATTGTGTTTGTTCTACCATGGCCAGGCCCCACCTGACCCAAACACGGTGCTTTCCCCTTCCCCACAGCACTGTCTCCTGTCTGCCTACACCTGACAGAGCTGAGCACTCTGTAGACTGCCCAATATGCAGAAATGGAGGACAAAGGTAGAGAAAAAACTGATAGAGCTATCACTTTTTAGATTTTCTTAATGAATCTTTTTCAGGACCCTTAAACCTCTCATAACAATATTCATTCTTGCTTCTTTAAAATGATCATGGTGCAGAAAAGTTCCTCTGTGTTCCACTTTGCCAAGAATGGTTGTGGTGAAGGCATAAAACCTCATAAGGCAGGAGAAGCCTCTTTCTAGGCAGAGTCCCATCTCCCAGCACTTTACTACATAACATGGCCTATTTAAGGAGTCCTCAGATTCCTCCAAATTAATATTTCCCCTATTAGAAGATTGACATTAACAGCCCTCCCCCACAAAAAAAAAAAAAGAGAAGCAAAAAAGTGGCCCTGATACTACTAATGTAACACAGCCACAAATGAGGAAACCCTCAGAGAATTCAGCTCTCCTGAAAATCAGCAGAAGGGTGACAGCACTCTGGTGTGGGGCCTATAAACATAACACCCTTTTTTCTTCTCACGTTACATCAAGAACACTTGTTCAGGTTCTTAAAACTTGCATTTTTTATTAGTTACAAATATATTTCATCAAGTAGATATTGCATGGTTTATTTGGCCATTGCTTTATTCAACTTCTCACTATTATAAATAAAACTAGACCTATATCTATTTGCATATAATAACTTCGATTATTTCCCTGCACCACGTGCCCCAAAATGGAATTGCCTGGTCAAATGGCATGAACATTTACATTGTTCTCGATACACATGGTTGAACTACTTTGCAAAATTATCGCACACCAACCAGGTACTCAAGTACCAATTTCATCACACTTTTCCCAGCATGTGGTATAATTAATAATATATTTTAAACCTATTAGTAAGCAAAAAAAAAAAGAATCCCCATTCTAGTTTGAATTTGCATTTCTTTACTATTAAGATGTGACCTTTCTGTCACATTTACTCTTTGCTATAGTGTGTATCTGTGTTTTATCCCCACTGGTAACTGAGTAGCCTCACAATCTGAATAAACCAGTGACATCATAATAAAATTAATTGTCATATTTTTTCATGCTGTCTGGGGGCTTATCTTGTTATTTATTTATCTAATGTATAAAACTGTAAAGTTCTAAGATAAATTTTTTAAGCCCTATTCATGACCACAGTGGGGGAGGGGGCAGATGAAGGTACCTTGGTACTAAAATAACCTCGTCAATGTGTGACATTCCCCAAAGGCTCTGCTGGTTAGTGAAACCTACCTTCTTTCCTGCCAGTTTTATTCGTGGGGTGAAACTGTTACAAAAGAGCTGGCTTTTGGATGTGTAGAAACTGTAAAAGAAATGAACAGGGTCATTAATCTAAATCCCTTTTAATTTAACCTCAAGACACAATTGAAATCCCAGGCATGGATCAGCCCTCCCGTGATGGAATTTAAGCTTCACTGATCGTCCCAATTCTAACTTCTTTTGCAGGAAGTGACTACAAAACATTAATTAGTTTTTTTGTTTGTTTGTTTTTGTTTTTTTTTTTTTGAGACAGAGTCTCGCTTTGTTGCCCAGGCTAGAGTGAGTGCCGTGGCGTCAGCCTAGCTCACAGCAACCTCAAACTCCTGGGCTCGAGTGATCCTTCTGCCTCAGCCTCCCGAGTAGCTGGGACTACAGGCATGCGCCACCATGCCCGGCTAATTTTTTTTATATATATATCAGTTGGCCAATTAATTTCTTTCTATTTATAGTAGAGACGGGGTCTCGCTCTTGCTCAGGCTGGTTTTGAACTCCTGACCTCGAGCAATCCGCCCGCCTTGGCCTCCCAGAATGCTAGGATTACAGGTGTGAGCTACCATGCCCGGCCAAGTCACTGTTTTTTTTAAATGACCTCATCAGGCCATGCAACAACAACATACAAAATTGAACATCATTAAAAGTATAACTTTATATACATATACGTAAAGGAAGAACATAGGTGACCACTCAGACAGTATCTCATTGGGCTTCCAGAGACGATAGGGACATACTTAGAACAGGATAATTATAATGTGACCACATCATCCTTACAGAACTGGCCAAAATGACTTTGCTCATTCGTGGTTCTTCACTTATGAATATTATAGGTGACCAGCAGAACCACTAGACTGATGGCAAAAGCCCATAACAAAGATCAAGGACTTGATATCCTTGATATAGTATATCCTTAATATTAAAGATATACTATAAAGCTGAAATCAACATTTATGATGAGTTTTCAAGTTGGTTTCCAGTAAAGATTTATAACTTGGCCGGGCGCGGTGGCTCACGCCTATAATCCTAGCACTCTGGGAGGCCTAGCCGGGCATGGTGGCGCATGCCTGTAGTGCCAGCTACTCGGGAGGCTGAGGCAGAAGAATTGCCTGAGCCGAGCCCAGGAGTCTGAGTATGCTGTGAGCTAGGCTGACGCATGGCAGTCCATCTAGCCTGGGCAACAAAGCGAGACTCTGTCTCAAAAAAAAAGATTTATGCCGCGCGGTGGCCACGCTGTATCCTAGCACTCTGGGAGCCGAGCGGGTGGATTGCTCAAGTCAGGAGTTTCGAAACCACCCTGAGCAAGAGCGAGACCCCGTCTCTACTAAATAGAAAGAATTAATTTGGCCAACTAATATATATAAAATTAGCGGCATGGTGCGCATGCCGTATCCAGCTACTCGGGAGGCTGAGGCAAGAGGATCTTGAGCCAGGAGTTGAGTTGCTGTGAGCTAGGCTGATGCCATGGCACTCACTCTAGCCTGGCAACAAAGCGAGACTCTGTCTCAAAAAAAAAAAAAGTTTATAACAAACAGAAGCCAAAATTGAAGGTTCTATTTACTGAGGTAAGGACCTAGTGGTCTTCTGCTCCTCATAAGTCCTGGCCACAGACCAACAACCCAGAGGAGGAAAGAATGCTCTGGAAGTACTAAAGAGAAAGCAGCTATTGGATGTTGGAGGAACACAGGAAAATTCAGAGCGATGAGGATGGCTCGTCTAGGGAATAATAGGCCATTTGTGAGGGAGAGCAGATGGAGAGGCCCTTAGATAGAAAGGCCCAGAAGTGGGGTGTTGCGTGCAGAATGAGAGAGGGCAGTGGGGTCAGGATGCCTCAATGTCAAACTTTAGTCTTTACCAACTGGCAATGAGAACAGAGGAAAGAGCAGTAGGATTTGGTTTTCACAAAATGCTGGTAGCCAGGTACAGCAGAGGTTCCTGACACTGCTCCCCAACCCAGGGTTTTGGTGCTAATCAGGGCTCTACCATGTGAGGCAGATAAGAAACACCTATTACATTTTGCTTTTATAGTATAGTGATTCCAAGACTATACTTGAAGACAAGGGCCCTGTTCTTAAGAAGCAAATAAAAAGAAAGAAGAAATCACTGGGTTAAGAGAGTAATCCTATGAGCGGGCAGTAGGTGGAATTCCATACAGGAGACATGTGAGCAACTCTGCAAACATTTGGGTGGTCAACCGATGGGGGAGTGTGTGATGGCTCAAGCAGGTAGTACGCCAGGGTACTGGTCCACATGCTACAAAGCCCAGGATACCCCACAACAAAGAATGACTGGCCTAAAACATCAAGTGTAAGGTGAGTAAACCCTGGTTTAAAGAATGAGATTGAAGAAAGGAAGAGACTAAATAGAACACCAATTAAGATTAGTGCCATACGTTCAAAAAATTGAGGCAGATAAAGCAATGCACTGGCAGAGGGAAGAGAGAGGCCTTCCCTGAGGGAAATCAGCAGGACACGAAACTTGTCCATGCAAGGTGGCACGGGGACTTTCCACAAATGAAGAAGGCAGGCATAATGTGGGTCTACTATGGTCTATGGAATTCGGAAAAGTAGGACTGGAACAGTAGCAGAAATAACCCTTCCAAAATTGTTTTTGACTTTCACCATAGACCTCCATATTCTGCTACTGTTGTGCATGTAAGAATAAGTTTAGCAATGTTAGACATTTGGTCCCACATTTTCTGAAAAAGTTGGCCATAATAAACTGATGCAGATTTAAAGAGAAAAATGGCAAGGAAGCATTTGAAAACTCTTGTCCACCTACTATTGAACAAGACGCACCACCTGTGTTGATCCAGTGAGGAAATAGTATAGTCGTCCGCCCAGTCAGAGAATCCGAGAGCACTCCGATATCAGAGCCAGGAAAACAGGAGGCGCGCGAGCAAGTAAAAAACAAGTAGGAGTGAACTGTTCCAACTTTTCCACTTTGACTAGCAACACTTGGCCTTAGCTAAGCAAATCCAAAACTAATTACCTTGACAATGGGACAAGCTGTTAGACGTTGCTTCTCCCATGCATACCAAGTCCACACCGATTCCTACCAAAATAAGAAAGACAAAAAGAGGAGGAGGAGTGGCAAACATAAGGTCCCAATTTATAAATGATGCTATTTAACTGGGTATGAAGGCAAGCCACACTTACCATCCTATGTTTTATAACCTCATCAGTGCTACTATCCAGCAAAGAAATAAATAGATGCATTCTGTCTGCTTCCCTGAGTCTCCTAGCCACTGCCAACTATTAGTGCTGACAATTAGCCTTTGACTGCCCTGCAGATCCATAAGTTGCAAACAAGAACACCAGGCCTCCGTCACTAAGGTTTGAGGCCAGAAAGGAATAAGAATTGCATTTCAGTAAAAACAAAAACAATCCATGTCACTTACAATCTTCTTTTTGGTAATCAGATTCTCTCCCCAGCTTCCATCTGGTGAAACAAAATCAAATCAGAATGCATGGGGTCAAGCTGGAGACACAAAGCATGTTTAGGGAGGGGAATGGATCTAGATGACCTAATGTGCTTCCCAAGATGGGATTATGCCACACTGGTGCTTGAAACAATCCCCCCGAAAGGGTTCTCCTGTGTCAAATATGTTGGGGACCAGAGTACTAGATTGCACCCTGTAGAAGACAAACCAACACTACATAAAATCCTAGGGAAGATCTGCAATCGTCGAGCCTGCTTCTTTGTGTATGACCCAGCATTCCCATCCTGATTTGACCACCGCAACTCTTATTTGTCACCGGCATCCGATTGAGCACCCAGATCTGTAAACACAGACAACACCCTCGAGTTCCCACATCTAAGGACAAGTCGTAGCTCAAGTTCAGGAAAATCAGGCTACTAAAACCCACAGGCCAGCACACAAACCAGGAGCGTTACGTTTGTCATCATCCGCCCCGCTTGGTCCAAGATCATGAGCAGGCGGCACTCGAGACACCCCCCCGGGTGATCACCAACAGACATGCTGTCCCGTTCGGTCAAATTGCGTTGGATAAGTGCTTGTCAACCACACTTGAAACACAAAAATCCCAATAAATGATGCAACAGCTTTCAGAACCACCACCAGGCAAGCATCTTCTGCACTCATCAGAGGATTTGGTCCATATTTTCTATAACCAACTGCCACATTTCTACGTTGGTGTCCTTCTTTCCTCTCCCTACATTAAGAGAGTGCTTCGAACACAGAACTAAGGTCCCCGTCATCTTTGTCATCCCCTCATGGATGCCTAAATCTGCCGTTAATGTACTTTAACTCGCTCAGATCCTCATGTCAAATTAAACCATCCATAAATCTGAGTCTATACTGAAATTGTAAGAATCAACTATTAATTTAGACAAGTATTAAGAAGTGACCAGAATCTTGGTGATGACTTTGAAATTGCAAGTTAATTTTTATTTCAGCCTCGTGTGATTCTACTTATGGAAAATCAGGATATTCAAATATGACAAAAAGATTTCACAATAAAGACACCTATAGATTCCAGACACCTGGTGGCAACTCATGATAAGGTGAAATACACAGTGATGTAAGCGGGACGGTGGCTCACCGCCTGTATCCAGCACTCTGGGAGGCGAGGCCGAGCGGCAATTGCTTGAGCGTCAGGAGTTCGAAACCCAGCCTGAGGAAAAGCGAGACCCCATCTCTACATAAATAGAAAGATTAATTCAACTAATACATATAGAAAACATAGCCAGCATGGTGACGCATGCCTATTAAGTCCACTTATCGGGAGGCTGGAAGGCAGAAGGATCGCTTGAGCCCAAGAGTTTGAGGTTGCTGTGAGCAGGCTGACGCCACGGCACTCACTCTACCTGGACAACAAACAAGACTCTGTCTCAAAAAAAACAGTGTGTAAAACACATCACACTGTCACCACCTGCCAGAAACCTAGCAAGAGCTCTGGCACCAGACACTCTCCATGGGAATGTTGATTTGGGCGAAGAAGCAAGACAGGTTGCGCTGGAGCTTAATGCGTCTTCTAGAATTCCGCTGCTGTGGTCCCGAGAGCCACCAGGTCCTTTCCACATGACCAT